TGTTACCCAGGCAGCAGGTCCCCCCTCTTCACGGCGCTGAAAGTCTCCAATGGAAAGGCATACGCCAATACGATTGGTTCCAGCGCCGTCGCAGGAACTGTGAGCCCCGCAAGTACCCATGTATGTACATGCGGGGCCCAAGAGCTGAAGGTCAGCCCACAGAAGCAGCAACACCAGACAAGTATTCGCTTCATCCCACCACTTGATTCCCCATCCTCAAACTCTCCTTATTTATAACATATAGTAATGATGACTATGATATGCCGGCACTGATTTCAATCCCATAAAGCACGAGAGTGACAGTACGTTCCTTCTGGTGGCCAGTCTGGCAACTCGTCTTCTCAACTAATACGTTTCATTTTGTTCGTTGTGATCCTCAACGTTTCAGTGCAAAAGTTGCATGAAAAGTAGCGGATGACGTTTTCTATGCATCGGTAGGCTAGGTAAGGAGGATGGCTTGGGTTCGTGCGTTTCTGGACGGTGGGTTTTGAACGTTGTGGCAAATCAAGGTGGAGAAGATGGTGAAGGGTTGTGAATTTCACCAACTTCCCCTCCTCCCTTAACCACCTTCTCTACTCTTCATCACCTTCCTTTCATGTCTGAAATCTTATTGATAATTGAGATCTTTATTTGGCAGAATTGGTAGTTAGTATGGCTTATCATTTCATGCAAATAGAGAGAGAAGGGTACTTCCCGCCAAACACACACCGAAACAACGACGTTCGTACAACGTTCGAACAAGTTTTAACACCTCCTAACCAGTTATAACAACCATTATAGCAAGTTATAACAACGTTCTAATACGTCATAAACACATTAAGCAAAGATTTAACAACTTTATTACAAGTTGTAACAAGCGGAAAAAAGAGACAGTTACGGTTTGTGTTTCCAGGGAGGTTCTCAACCCTGAACATCCTATGACCCTCCCCGGACCAAGACAAGTCATCCTGCAAAATTTGGTGAGGCTAGACGCAAGCATCTGGGCCACCCAACCTCGAACAGAGAAACATACCGACAGACATTCCCCTTTACATATATGTATAGATATAAATAAATGTTGCCACCTCTAATATAAATCCACTCTAACTATAACAGGCAGTTATAATATTTACATTTGGTCCATGTGGTCATGTCCCATTCCTTACCTCAGTCCTCATAGTCCTTCCAAGCGCTGTGTATTCATAACTGTTTTACCTGTCTGCTGGTAATTACCATACTCATAATTTTAGATAATTTTCATGAAAAATGGATTCCCAGCTATTTAGTCTTATTTCAGTGCTTAATGTACCGTCAAGTTTAATCAAGAGGCCTAATAAAGTCAGATTTTTGCTGGAAAAGTCCAAGTGGAAGACACGATTTAAAAGCATCTTTAGTTTCAAGTGTTCGTAATACTGGTCGACGACTTCTGGCAATAATGTTCAAAACAGGTCTTATGCGAGTTATCTGGATATGAATTTGCTTTCCGAAAATAATTAAAAATCTTATAGAAAGTATAACAGAGCTTTGTAATCCATTCTTAAAATTAAATGTTCTTCCGGAAGGAACACTTTATCAAAAAATAAAATACCTGTTAAATATTTTATTGATAATGTTTCGCAGTCTGGAACTCTCAGCCTTTTTTCGAGGAGAATTTAGTAAAATTTCTTTTTTAGCCGAGAAAAAATTGAGCAATATGGGGCAGAGAGTTCCCAGGATGGAGTCACGGCTTGCAGGGCCTTGGGTAGAGCTGACGGGCATGGCATCCAGCGGGGTGACAGTGCCAAAGGTGCCACAGTAAACCCCATTATCAAGAGCACCCGCGGGTGTAGCGGTGTTGCAGATGCCAGATATGATCCCGTTGCCTATAACACCCGTGTCAGCGAAAGTGCTGATAGTGCCACAGTTGAACCCGCTACAGAGAACACCCAGGACAGTGGTGCCACCCAAGGTGCCACAGTCAACCCCGTTACGAAAACTAATTTAATAAAATGCGAAACAGTGGGAATATCGTGCCACGACGCCTAGCAAGTTAGAATGATAATACGCTACAGAGACGTCTGCTCGCTTGGCCCTGCTGCTGGCCTCAGTCACTCCAACTATGAACACTAGTTTAAAGCTGGAAATAAGGACAAGAGATTTGCGGTCGTCTTTGTGATCGAGATGATTAGCAAACCAAAATTTGAGGCAATAAAGCAAGCAATATTGACCGCATTGTTGGCACTTCCAGCGAGTGATGAATGGCCTTTTTAGATTGGATTTATATTTTATAATAGAAATGAATACCATTGGGCTAGGAAAGGCCCCATGACTATTTGAGAAGAAGAATTCAGCTATTTTTTTTTTCAAACTTACCCATTCATACAGAGAACAGCAGAGTACTACAAGAGCGAGAATATAGAGTCAACTCTGTGTAGTGGCACTGCTGAGGCTCTCTTTATGCTCTATTACGATGGGTACGAAGGCAAGGTCATCGTTATTGGTCATCACATGTCAAAATAACTTCATAATGATATCTATAGATATCTGCATAAATTACAAAAGTAAATTGACGTTTTCGTTATCACAGATAGCGAAAACTAAGAGGGAGACACGACGTGGAATCATCTTACGACTGTAGATTATCAGGTAAGAGGTTAGTTAAAGGTAGTTCATTCCGAGCGCTTAGCTCAAGCGCTTAAACCCAGTCTACATATGATAATGTTTAATTTATCTATGTAAATAGAGTGCTACTCTGGCCTGCTCATCAGATACATAGTGAGTAAAGGGGCGAAAGTAGATTATGAGGGTGATGAGGTTCGTGAGAGAGTCACGGTAGATATTCCTGTGGTGCACAGTGACGATTTGGCTGTTCTCTTCCTACAGACATCGGGAAAAAGGATGGTTGGGGCTGGTCGTATACTTCAACTACGGTGTGAATTCACCAACGCCATTGGCTAGATTATTAAACTAGAGTTAGCTTAATCGTGGCCTTGTGAGAAAGACCCCCGAGAAAATGCTGAGGTCGTCGAAGGAATCACAGAGCAGCTCTGTCAAGAAAATTCTTGCTAAGCAAATTAAGTATTTCCTGAGATGGTCAGGTTACCATCACGGCTACTCACAGTGGTCGGTTTTTTGACATTGCTTTACCTTACTTATTTGATTTGCGTTATTGAGTTTGAAACAGATTCTCATTATAATGAAAAATATTCTTTCTCTTAGACACATTTTTATTAGATTTGGACTTAAAGAAATTAGGTCTGAAATATATTCTCTGACTTTAGGTCTTTCTTCTTGAAGATCGGCGTTCGATCCCAAATGTTCCAAGTAGTTTGGCGTTGTTCCTGCCCTGCTCTTGTTTTTGTCCTGCCTGCCTCACTCTCCCCTTGTCCTGCCTGCCTCACTCTCCCCTTGTCCTGCCTGCCTCACTCTCCCCTTGTCCTGCCTGCCGCACTCTCCCGTATCTCACGTGTCAAGCTCACCTCTCTCCCACCTGCTGCACTTCCCGCTTTCCATCCTGCTACTAATTAACCCCCGGCCCCAATCTCTTCCTTTTCACATGAATCACTCTCCTCTCTCCCGTCTGCCTCCCTCTCCCCTTTAATTCCATCACAACTTATCCTTTTCCCTCTCTATCCTTCTCTCGATTTGTAAATTATAATTATCTTTCCTTCTCGTGGTCATCCTGTCTCCACGTCTCTTCTTCTTCAACTGTCTCTAAGCTATATGGTCGTAATGCTTAGTGCTTTCTTCTGATAATTAACTTTACATTACCTGTTTCTAGGTCCTCAACATACACTTAGTTCCAACATACTTTATGATGAAGTCTCTAAGGTTTCACCATACACTTTGTTTAATTTTAATATACAAAAATGATGCCTCTCATTGTTTTCACTTTTGTTATAACTTCGTCGCTCCCTTTATCTCATTCTTCCTATCGTCTTCTTCGTTTACTGTATTCGGTGTTTATCTTCTCAATTGTTTTATTCTCAGAGTTGCTTCGATGTAACTTTTCATTCCTCAGTATTAATTGTCGCTCATTCTCTCTACCTTCTGGTCTTCTATGTATTCTGAACTCCGATACTTCCTCGCCGTACCTATCCTCTTCATACTTCCTCCCACATTCGTATCTCCTTTCTCAATTGTCTTAACTCATCTCTTTGCTATTTCATTTTCCCATTATCCCTGCTCTAAGCTTGACTCCTTTCCTTACTCTCAACTCATATTGTTATCCTGTTCTCTGCTCTTCTCATTCATCACCTACCCCTGTTCTCAGCTTAATTCGCATTTACTTGGTTTCTGTTCCCCTCATGTTTCTGTTCGCCTTGCAACATGCAGGTCGGCGTTCAATGCCCGACCGTCCAAGTGGTTGGGCACCATTCCTTTCCCAACGTCCCTTCCCAAATCCTTATCCTTACCTCTTCCCAGTGCTATAAAGTCATAATGGCCTGGCGCTTTCCCCTGATAGTAAATAATCTCCCCACTGGCCCTCGGGTTATGAACCTGGCCCACTCTCATCTGCCATTCATAAGCTTAGACGAAAGGTGTTGTCCTGGTGGGAGGTTGGATGCGGCCCCAGGCCTTGCCAACTATGTGAGGGACTTGAGACCGGACGAGTCTACGGATAACATGCGCCATGTTTAACTGTCGCTAAATATATAATCTGCTCCTTGGACATTGGCTGGGAGCTTACTAGGGCGACTTATTTCCACTTTCTGATTATTTTCTCGATTTGTTTCAGTGTATCATTTGAAGCGGCGAAAGGTGGTTTTAGAATTTGTTCTATAAATCCGAGATCAACAAGAAATGATAGCCTAATATCGGTGTGATTTTGTTATATTACTCGAGTGTTTTAAAACTGAATTAACCATTTGATATTTTATTTGTCTCAGTGTTGCCTAACTCTCGATTTCCCTCCCCTGGTGACGTGTTAGTGGCGCCATCTATTGGCGAAGAGAGTAATCGCTACCGTAGGCAAGTTCTCTGGGAGACCGCTGGGTGTCTCTACCGTCGCGTTTTCCCTGACCAAGAAAAGTCAATATCTGCGCAAGGGCTTCACACCGAGTGGAGTTCTCTTAGCGAGTGGAGGTGTGCGCCTCGTCCGTGTCGTTGGGGGTATACTTTGCTTAGGGATTTTCAAGATGGTGGTGTGTTTGCGAGGTTAAGCCCGCGAGGATATGTAAGCCAGCCGCTTCGAGTGTGTACGAGCTGTCAGCGAGCAATGGACAGTCTCGCCCGCCAGCCATGAGATCACGAGCGGCCCGTCGTGTCTCGCTTTGGCTGTGGAGCGCCGTTGTAGCTCTTGTACTGTGGGCCCCGCGGTAAGTGGAGATGATAGAGGAGGCTGTGGAGGTGTGTGTAGCTATAGATTCACAGTCCTGCTCGCACACACCAATACACACACACATGAGCGTACGAACTGATGCACGCACACACACTTTCAAAGAGTTATATGAAAAAAGAGTACTAGAAAGACTGGACACAAGCGTAGCTCTCATCCTATAACTACACTTAGGTAATAATTTCAAAGAATGAAGCTCAACACACTCAAGTACAACTAGGTGAGTACACATACACTCACATACAACACAAGCTCAAAGCACAAATAAAATATACACAAAACGCAACACATCACACACCCAACAAACACGACAAACACAACACGTACAATACACTCAACACGCACAGGAACACCCAACACACACTAAACACAATGAAAACGCACAAAACACTACACTCAGAAATCACACAACATACACAACACAATCAATACACTCATAAAACACACAACCACTCACAACACACACAGTTCATTCACAACCTACTCCACACACCCAATACACACAAAACAACCCACACTAGACATACACATACACACCCAACACACTATACACACACATGACACACGAAACACAACACACACATACAGCACACATACGCTAACGCTTCAAGCCGTATACAAACCCAGGTGTGTACACATACACATGATCTCAAACGTCAGTATTTGAAACTTTATAAGAAAATGAACAACATCGGAAAGTCTGAAGGGACATTATCACAGGATTCAAGAATCTTAGAGGCATTATTCCAGTTGTATATATCAAAATGGAATTTTGTGTACGAACATGGGGGGGGGGAGTATGGGTGAATTTGCGTGGGAATGGGTGAAAAATTACAAACTTAAGCACTCCTTCACTTCAATAGAAGACCGGTGACAAAAGCTGGGCCCAAGAGCTGAAGCGTATTATCTCTTACTAACTTAAGGACAGACGCATAAATACACCCAAGAAATTATACACACACTCGAGCAGAATTACTCACTCATCCACGCACGCAAGCACACGAGCACACACGCGCTCACGCACACTTACATGCACGCACCGCGGATGAATCCTCTCGCAGACATAAGCCTTCGCACGGACTCTCACAACCATTGACATGCGCACATGTATACACGCAAAGATATGCACACAAACGCTCAAGTTGCTATTTGGGGGTGAGGGCAGGTTGGTGGTGGTGGTCGGGCTAGAGACTGTGCCTGGGGTAGGGACCGTGCCAGGGGCGGGCAGGGGCCAGCAAGAAACACAGGCCTTCACCCGCAACCCGTTCTCGCACTTATAGTCAATATTGGCTTATTTAATATGTGCATATGTGACATACTAATTGATTGTGAATATTTTAGTTTACCTTGAAAAGCTTCATAGAGAACACCGACCTCACCTAACCTTCTTAGTATGTTAAGATAAGCATCTTATTGCTTCTTAATTACAATTATTACTTAACCTATACCGTTGATAGGTTAATAATTGTAAATAAGAAGCAATAAAGCAACCCGCAACCAACCCCACATAAGCAAAACAAGACCTGATATTAACAGTTCAATCAACTTTCCCCACTATAAAAATTCCTTGTGTTCACTAAGAGGACAACTAGGTAGAGATAATTTAGCAGGAAAATAGCATTGTCATATCAATAACACTGTGATACCAATAACACAGTCATGTCAATTACACTGTCATACCGGTGACATTGACATACTAACAACACTGTCACATCAATTTATATGTATATTTAATTATTACAATCTACGTTTCGTGGGTGGTCGAGGTGTGGCAGGTAGATGGTAGATACTGTAGAGAACATTAGCAGCTCAACCTGACATTGGGGTGTGGTACGTGACACTGTTGAGTAGATATTTAGGATCCAACAGGTATGGATTGAAGAGAATTATCAGGAAAAAGCGCCAAACAATTACGACCATATGCGTTTGCTCTTGTGTAGATGGCGCGTTCGTAATTGGGTAGGTTGATGTTCGTAATATAGAGGGTGAAGCGTTTGTAATAGGGAAGGTAAGGCGATCATAATATGGAGAGTAAATGTTTGCAACAGTGAGGGTTAAGCGTTCGTATAAGGAAATGTTCACGTTCCTAATAGGGAAAGAACACCTTCAAAGGAAGGGATGCGTTTGTAATGGGAAACGTGAAGCGTTTGCAATGGGTTTGAAGTGTCTTATAATGAAAGTGTAGTGTTCATTATAGACAGGGCGAAGTGCTCGCTACAATGAAGGTGAAGTGTTGAAAATAGAGATATGGAAATGTGTTTGTAATTTTCAAGATGGAATGTTGGCAATAGATTGTTTTCAATATGTATATATTTTGGACTTGGAAGAGATCAGGATAAGGATTTGGGATGGGATGGGGGTAAGGAATGGTGTCCACCCCACTTGGACAGTCGGGAATTGAACGCCGACCTGCATGAAGCGATACCGTTTCTCTACTGTCTAGCTCAAGTGATTGGGTATGGTAATCAGAAGGGTGAAATGTCGTAATAGGAAGGGTAAATAAGAACACGAGAAAGACTAAGTGACATAATAACAATCTATCAACAAGAGAGAATGCCATGTCTATCTGCTCGAAGTTGGAAGCCAAATGGAACAATAAAGTTTCACGAAACTTTCCATGGTGAATTGTGACCCTATGGCAAGTGTTATGGGGGGAAGGGGGGTAGTGATCGATCCCCCGTGCTCTCTTTAAACAGGATTGGCTCCTATTGTGACAATCAACGACTCCTATAAATCCTCAAATGGGAATTGAATTGTCCATAAAGTGTTAATAAAAGATTTCTCAGCTGTTATCAGCGCTGCTTGAGGATGTTTAACCAAGAGGGAGAGAGAGAGAGAGAGAGAGAGAGAGAGAGAGAGAGAGAGAGAGAGAGAGAGAGAGAGAGAGAGAGAGAGAGAGAGAGAGAGAGAGAGAGAGAGAGAGAAAAAGAGAGAGAGAGAGAGAGAAAAGAGAGAGAGAGAGAGAGAGAGAGAAGAGAGAGAGAGAGAGAGAGAGAGAGAGAGAGAGAGAGAGAGAGAGAGAGAGAGAGAGAGAGAGAGAGAGAGAGAGAGAGAGGGGGGGGGGGGATCATAAGGGGAGAGAGCGTAGGGCTGCTTCCTAGAATCTATAGATATACCCTCACATACCTCACCCCTCACATCCCCTCCAGCATCCACCTCTCACCCCCCCCCCATGCTCATCCCCCGAGCCACCTCTCACTTCAAGGCCCACCTCTCACCCTCCAGAAGTCGACGCCCACCCATCCCTTACCTTTCACACCTGCCACCCACCTGTTACATCTAATATCCACCTCTCACTCTCGCCACCCACAATCACTTCTTACACCTACCACCACTCTTTCCCACCCACCTGCACATCCACCACCCACCACCTCATCCACCACCCACCTTCACATCCACCAGCAGTCTGCTACACCCACCAGGAAGGGTGAGGAAGGCACACCCTTGGGTGTCGGCCAGTAAGGCAGCCCCAGGGTGTCGGTCAGGAAGACCCCCCTAGGTGTCGGCCAGGAGGGCCCCCCTAGGCGTCGGCCAGGAGGGCCCCCCTTGGCGTCGGCCAGGAGGAATCCCCCTAGGTGTCGGACAGGAGGATCCCCCAGGGTGTCAACCAGCAGGGTCCCCCTTCCCCCCGGGGTGTCGGTCAGGAAGGGGTGGGGGATGATGGCTGCAATTCTCGCACACTCTCGTCAAAACCTCACTGCAAACTCACTGTGTGTGTGTGTGTGTGTGTGTGTGTGTGTGTGTGTGTGTGTGTGTGTGTGTGTGTGTGTGTGTGTCACTGTGCAGAGAAAATGCGTTTCCAGATAAACTGTATTTACAATATGACAAAGAAAATAGTTTGTTAAAACGAAAAAAAATCAAATGTTGCAGTAAATAAATATTTTAGTCAGAATGCAGCCCATTAGGTGGAAATTGACTAATAACGAAGATGGTAGAACCTACACAGAAAATGTGTTAGCGAAGCTCTCAGGCCGACACAAAGCTATTCTGGGAGGTAAACATGGGTGTGTATGTGTGTTTTTGAATATGTGCGTGAATATGTCTTCTTTTATGTTTTTCGTGTGTATGTGTGTGAAGATATGTGTAGGTGTTTGAGTGTATTCACGTGACTCACATAAATGCGAATTTGAGGTTGAGCTTCAGCTCTTGATTCTGCTTCTCAACTTTCCGTCAGCTGGAGTACCGGTTTCCGGCCCTACTGGGCCTTTGTTATATCTCATCAAATCCTCCTGATAAGATTCTACTGTTTTGTATGTGGACGATCGTATTAATTTCGACGAGATGGACAAATAGTAAGTAGAATTTCGTACTATTCATTTTATAGTGAGAACAAAAAATAAATTTAAACCTAACTTAAATATTCCTAGGCCTAGTATAGGACTTCATGTTCCTCCTTTTTCCTTTGTTTTCGAATGATGTGATTGAAAATCTTTATTCGTATCAAATCGTTCAACTGCTTCTCCTCATAATCTGAGATATTATATCCTGCAGCTCTGATGTTTCTCTCCCTGCACTATGTTGTTCCATTGATTTCTCTGTGGTCATGTTTTTGTGTGTTTTGCCTCCTAATATCTTTATATAAACAGGATCAAACTCGTCGACAGCTTCCCAAAATTTCTTCGATAAGAATCCCATAATGTATTTTTTTTCGTCTGAGTTCTGTATAATTATGTTTCTGATATCTATGGTCTTATTACTTTGAAATATTCCGAGCTACGTTCCTATTCTTTCTCTGAACCAGTTTTATCTACTTCCACCAGGTATTCAGGTATAGAGTGGTTGCTCATTCTCTACACGGCTACAAAACTATTTACCTTTGTCCGACTCGTTCAGAGTGGTTATTAGGTTATGTATGTTTTATGTGTTGTCAATTAACTGCCCCCTTACCCCGCCTCCCTTCCTCCCTGAAGTTCTCAATTTTCCAATCTATTTTACAATGTTTCAATTCACTCGTGATTATTAATCAACGCCCATTTCGAT